GGTCGGGACGACCTGGTCAGGTCGAGCCCACTACGGGGGCAACCTGGCTCAGCAAAATATCGGGGGTCGACCTGACCGGACTTTACGCTGTTTTAAGGCCTAGTCTCTGCACAACCTGTGTAATCTTCTCTCAATTCCTTTCATTTCCTTTTGTTGCTATCTTGACTTCGCGTTGCCCTTTCCCTTTCCTATGCTCAATCCCCGCACAAATGATAATTTGACTTGGAGCAAGAACACGCCTCTCCTCACTTCTCTTGCCCCCATCTATCCCACGCCATTGTCAAAACACATCTCATGAACAAGGTCCATTGCACAGCCTTACATTAACAGGAATTTCGCCTGCCAATAAAGTTGCTTGCTCTTATACCAGCGTGTTTCCATGCAATCTTCAGCTCCCTGTATCTGACTCATGCATGCCCCGTTGTGATCATTGGCGCAGAAATCTTTACGAAAATCAGCTCACTGGCTCAATCCCCACTGCAATCACCAACCTTGCAAACCTACTCGTCATGTAAGTAGAGATGAGCAGGTGGTGGTGAGCCCTGTAGAAGATGGATAGGTGAACATCAGGGCACAATGGGAAGAAGATCATATCCTTAGCAAGAAGATGGTACAAGCCTCAGAGGCGAGGCAGAGTGTTCTCTAATCATAATATCTTGGGAAGTAGTGCAGCCATAGATGTATGGCTGAACACTTGAGGCTAGCTGCCGCCCTAAAAGTTGAGGGCAAGGCTAGCCAACCTTGCCAAGCTAGCAAGTGAGGCCTCGTGTTGCACATGCAGGCCAGGCTGGAACATATGGCACATCATAGGGGCCAGAAATGTGAATATGGAATGCCAGAAATGTGAATAAGGAATGCCAGAAATGTGAACATGGAATGCCAGAAATGTGAATAAGGAATGCCAGAAATGTGAACATGGAATGCCAGAAATGTGAATATGGAACATATGGCACATCATAAGTGGCAAGGCCAGCAGTGACCGCACTTCACGCTAGTTGAGTGTGGTGGGGTATGGACATGCCATGGTGAGCATAAATATGAGAGGAGAAAGTGCAGTGTCTAAACTGAACCACTTTGGTTTGAAACAAACCAGCTCGTGATTGGATGTTAGAGTGGCCAAACCCAAACCTAATTGGGTTCGAGCCCCACTAATCAGCGCCGAACCGTTCACATTCGGTTGCCTGGACCGAATGTAAACAACAGTGTACTTCCTAGGGGTGGGTTTCGGGTGTATTTGTTTGGTACACGCCTTGGGGCGCTGTGAATGGTTGGCGAAGAGTCCAACCATATGAAACACTAGAGCGAGGGTTGGAGAATGTGCTGGCGAACACAAAAATAATTCGTCCGCGAGTTGGGTGAACAAACGACGGAAGGTGAGGCAAGTGATAAACGTTTGCCTCCACCCCCTTCAAAGTGCACCCTTGCTTTAAGCAGCCGTAGGCTGCCTACTGATTCAGCATCAGTACGACACACACATAACTAGCGTGTTGTTACTGGAGACGTTGAATTGCCATATAATGGGATCCGCTGTTCCACTGAGTCTAAGTTGCGCAATCGTCAATTCGGGGGTAACCTGTTTGACCCGAAACTTGAGCTTCTTGTATGCTCGACCCGAAACTTGAGCTTCTTGTATGCTCGACCCGTTCATCATTGCAGGCCACTCATCTTTGCAAGCTTCTTGCGTCCTTCTCTTCCTTTCTTCACAGCACTCTCCTCATCATGCCTCCATGTCTCGTTGTTTTCTGTTCCTATCCCTCTATATAGTTTCCGCCTCTCTGACACCCTCTCCCGTGTTCTCTTCCCCGTGGCCATTCTATATGTCAATGGCACTCCTTGGGGCACACAAAGTGCATGTTGCTCCTCACATCTTATGCCCCCACCTATCCTATGCCAGCGTTAGCTCACATCCACGGACAATGTCCATGTTGCTGCCTTTCATTCCTTCGTTGCATTCTCGGAAATCTCGCCCTCTAGTGGAGCTGCGCTGGTTGAGCTTCCTGTGTCTACTACACGCGCATTCATGCTCATCGTGGCAGAGATCTCAGTAGCAATCAACTCACTGGCACAATTCCAGCTTCAATGGGGCACTTCGCAGACCTGACTTATTTGTAAGCTCCCGGCAAGGCCTATGCTTGGCTGTACTCTTGCCTATTCTCGTCTCTAGTGTCCGCCATTTCTCCTTTTGATGCTAGTCCTGTCCTATGCACTCCATTCTCCTCTCTTCCTTCTTATCCAGGTCTCTCATGTGTTCGTCCTCGTGACCATTTTACGTGTGGATGACACTGGGGCACTTACAGAGCACATCTTTCCTCTCTTCTCGTGTCCCCATCTATCCCCTGCCACTGTCCGCACACATCTCACTGACAATGTCCATCGTGCTGCGTTTCATGCCTTTGTTGCATTCGAAGTAATTTTGCATCGTAATGGAGTTGCTTGTTCCAACTGAGCTTGGTGCCATGCAAACTTGAGGTTCCTGCATCCACCGCATGCCCATTCATGAGCAAAACCCAAACACGAACGAGCTTGGGTCAATGGTCTATTGAACTCGTTTAGCGGGCGAACTAAACGTGTTTGGTTTCGGCCTAAAAGCTTCTATAGAAAGTTTGTCCGAGTGTTAGCCTTTGTAGGTGAACACTTATGTATTTGCCTCGAACACCACAATCAAGTTCGAGGCGAACATGTTTGTGTGTGTTCGCCTAGGGGGTGCATTTCGCTATAGTCACATTACAGACGACATTCAATTCTGCAATGTACTTGAGAACCTTACTCCTTGAGAATTTTTGATTACAACGATTGTCAATGAAATGAAGCCCCAGCAAGGTATAACGGAGGAGGACCTAGCTAGGCGGGAACCTCAGTAGGCGAGTTTGGGTGCTGGTCTGGAAATGCCAAGCCCAAAGGCAACGCGAGTCAGTGGCCTCGGGAGGCGAGGTCATCGGATCGAGCCTAGTCTTCCAAAAAGGTGAATAAAGATAAGCTCAGTAAGGAATAAAAACAACTTATAGATTGCCCTTCAGCCTCTTGGCTAATCACAGACATGAGTGCGAATTTATAGAGCGGGTTTATTTGATCCAGGATTGGCTTCCCTTCTAACGTCTGACATTGGAAATCACCCGATGCTGGCATTGGTATTCCCTTCCTTTTACCTGACATTCCTTGCTTCCCTTTGCCATGCAGGCATGAGAAAATTATCAAACATGTGTTCAGTTCAACTAGAACACGTAGCTATTCGATTCAACCATGTTCGTTTCGCTCGGAAATTTCAGCCATGGAGAGTCGAAAAAAGATATGTTTGACTGCACATGTTGTGCGTCGCGAAGACTCTTGTGTTCACGTCAACAATAACGCGGCTTGGGACGCGCTGGTTGACATTCTAGATCGTTTTTTTTTTTAGCTCATACGCTCTCATGCCCGCCCCACATGCCTCCGTTCTCATGTTTGATTATAAGAAGCCAACCTCTTGTTTTTTTTAGAGTAATCGGTCTTGTACCCGCCGTATGCCGTGTTCGACACGGTGCGTCGACGAACACCAATGTGTTTGTCAACGATTTGACCCTTGACCAATGTTTAGGTCGCGAGTCAATGTGTTTGGGCTCATTTTTTGAGCGAGCATCACTTCTCCATCATAGAACTTTTTAGGGTACACGGTGGAGTAATAGATAGAACACCACAGTACTCCACCACAACACCTGTAACTCTCCTACAAATCATCTGGGAGGGTCAATATCCCTGTTTGCCTTGTGTGAATGTAGTGAAGGTTGTCCCTGGGCGAACACAAACGTGTTTGCCACGAACACGTTCGTGTTCGCCAGTGCCAGCAAGGTGTTCGCCTTCACAGGTGAACGAAGGTTGTCCCTGGGTGAACACCGAACACCTTTTTCTCCAAAAGGTGTTCGTGCAGGGGCGAACGAGAACACGTTCGTGTTCGCCCCTTCCCCTACCTGGCCCTGGTCGGGCCGGCATGGCAAGAAAACCGGCCATGCAACCATATGCTGGTCGGGGTCGGGCCGGGCGTTTCCTTAAAATGTTGTCTCTCTGCTCGCCCTTCACATGCTCAATTCCCCTTAGCCATTCTATACGTGGTTGACACGCCTTGGTGCAGACAAAAAGTACAGCTTTCCACACTTTTCCTGCCCTCATCTATCCCCTGCCGTTATCAGCACACTTCCCGTGGACGTTGTCCATCACTCTGCCATTCTCGACTTGTTTGCAATTTCAGGGATTTTGCCTCCCATTTTGATTGTAGTTACTTCTTCCTATCTGCTGCTCGTTGCCATGCAAACCTGAGCTTCGTGTATGTACCGCATGCCCGTTCACGCCCATCGTGGCAGAGATCTTTCGAGCAATCAGCTCTCTGGTGCAATTCCTACTGCAATAGGCAAGCTTTCAAACATGAATTACCTGTAAGCCCCTTTGCTTGGCTGTGTTTCCCTTTCTGCGCTTCATGCCCGCCCCACATGCCTCCTTTCTCATGTTTGATTATAAGAAGCCAACTTCTTGATTTTTCTTAGAGTAATCGGTCTTTTAGTCGCTGTATGGCTTGTTTTGAGGCTTCTCAAAAGCCGTATGCCTTGCGCATTATAGTTGCTGGAGAGGGGTTAGGGAAAGCCTGTGGTGCGGGATTGAATTGTGTTGTAACGTGTTCGGGCCTGTTTTGGGGCCAATATTGTTCTCCGCCATGATGTGGTACATTGTATCACCCTGTGTCGAACATGCATTAGCCGTTCGACACTGCCGATACATTATTTGTCGTTTGACAGTTATTCAGATTTGACTTGGGTTCAGCAATGTTCGAATCGTATTCGTATTTGGTTTCTGGGTCAGTATTCGGTCAAATATGAAACCACACAGTACTCGGAAAATAATTATGAAAACATGCTGCCTCCATGTGATGTTTGTGTATAAACTACACAGATTGGGTACAGTCTGTAAGAACTTGTAGAATCCATGCAAACTTGAGCTTCCTGTATTTGCCGCATGCCCTATGCTCATTGTGGCAGGTCACTTTCTTATAACCGGCTCATTGGCACAATTCCTGCTGCAATCGGCAACCTTGCAAAACTGACTCATCTGTAAGCCTTTGCTTGGCTGTACTTGGATTGCAAGCTAGGAATGTTCTGTCTGCATACATGCATGCATAAACAGCGAACTGAGTCTGACACGTTTCTGGGAAGAGAGAGTGGAGCGGAGGGTTTCAGTGCCTGCCCGTGCTCTGTTTTTGGTAAGGCCTCTGTGCTACATTTCCCCCTTGCTTCATGCGCGTCTCTCTTGACTACTCTTGTCTATTTACTCTCCTCCCTCTCTCTGCAGGTTTGCCGAGCACAAGGTAGAGAATGGTGTCATATTAACAAGGACATACATTGGAGTATATAGCTTATAATAGAAACGTGTACAAGAATATTTCTAACCATCTTCCATGGCCGCTCCAAGCATGTCGAGCAATGGCACTGCTTCATTTGCGACCTCGTCCAGGATTGGACCACCACTAATCACAATTTTAACCTCTGTGCAAATTTGGCCGACATCTCATTCTGCTTTCCTTCGCCTCTTGGAACTTGCGCTCCACTCTGACAAATTTAGGAATTGTCCTCTTCTCTCTTCCAAGCCTTGTGAATATATGCAGACTGAGGTGTTGGTAAGATTCTCTTCACCTAAGTATCCTACATATATTTCTTGTGTAGATTGAGACACGCAAACATAGTTCGGGCCCATAACTCGGTTGAGCTGGAGGGGTGGTTGATAATCCAATCTTGGCCCAATTGTTTGAACAGCAAGATAAGGTTGGCCGAAATATTGAACTTCCCAATAAACTTGCCTCGCCCTTGACCAAGTTTATTGGTGCAGGTCAATAATGTGGGCACCGTCCCAACCAAATCCCTCCTTATCTATCCAAATATATATGCTCGATTATTTCGAAGACAATTTCTCTCTTTTTCATTTTGTACCGTCCGGATCGGACCCATGCCCTCCCTCACTTGACCCCTCTTCCTTTTTGGGCTGTTGCATCAGCTCTCTCCATGACCAACACCCTCTCCTTCGCAGTATCATGTGGTCCTGGTACAAGTACTATGCATGTGACTGGAGTCATAGGATTCTGTGATTGTGACCACACATGGCAGTGTCTGTCTGCAGACTTGCACAAAAAAAACTGATTCTGACACGACTCTGGCTAATACCTCTCTGCCGGTTGGTTAGGTAGAGTGAAGCCACATTGCTTTCTAGGGCCGAGTGTGTGCGAGCTGGCTGGAGTCAGATTTTGGTAAATTGGCAATGCAACTTAGTAACCCTTTTCTACTGTAAGGGCTCGCTGCCTTAATTCCTACTCGTGTATCGCTTCTCCCTTGTCATTGTCGAAAACTGAACCATTGAACTCACGGGCTCAATCGCCATTGCAATCAACATCCTCACAAGTACAGCACAAATACAAAAGTACAACAATAAAAAGCTATGATATAAAAAGTGCAAGACTCCAGCTTCTGCCCCTCTTCTTTCAGCCATTTGCCCTCCTCTTGATGCTAGTCTGGACACTTGCTCTCCATTGATCCCTCGTCCTTGTTGTCCTCTTCCTCTATCTTTATTTTTCTACCTCTCCCCTGCAGTGATCTCCACCGCAACTACCTCACAGGCCCCCTGGTGAATCTCCCATTCTCCGAAGTGGACTTGACCGATAACTACCTGTCGGGTGTTGTGTCTGCACAAGGCTGCCGTCGACTCAACATCGCCGCCAACTGCTTCTCACCAAGCAAAGCCTGCCGCCCTGCCATGCAGCGGCCTGCAGCACAGTGCATGGCATTCTGTGGCATCTCTCCAACCGCTTCTGCCTGTGGTGGTCGGGGCGTGTGCTACCCGGATGGGCCTAGTTTGGTGCCAACGTGCCTGTGTGATGCGGGATCCGTGCAGCTTGGAGGAATCACCTGTATTTCAGGAGGTAATAAAGAACTTCTACATGATTTCAGGAATGTCAAAGCTCTGGGTTTATGCACGTCAAATTCTTTGTGCTCCTTGAATAATGCACTTTACAGACATTTTCTCTACTTTCTGATTTGCACACATTGGTTACCCCATGCTTTGCTGCAAGTTGTTCGCTGTTGTTGGGTCTGCTGTATTTCAGCTACCACACACTTGAAAACTCCTTCGGCAGGCACAGACCTCATTTTTAAGTAGATCTTACCCTTCATAGCGTTGACCACATGATTTGATCTGCACAGCTTAGCACACAAATTCTATTTCTCCACCATTCCCACCCTCACCCGTGCAATGCTGCCCTTTCGTCGCAAATCTTCAGGCTTCCAAGGAAATATTTTCCCGCCATTTACAGTGCTCACCAAGGGCACACAGCAGGAGACGGTGGGAATGTTCATGGCGAAGCCAGTGACTCTGTTTTTGTACCCACCTGGTGTATCCACCTTTGGATGTGGCTTGGAGTTGGCCTTCAGAGTCAACTTCACCTTTGCTTTCATGCCCCAGTATGGTACGGCTTGGTCCAGCGGCTTTGCATTCGTCATTGCAGCAAAGCCCAAGGCGGGAAACCCTGGTGGTGTGGGCTTAAAGGGAGTGGGGCCCAGGAGCATGGCCGTGATATTTGACACGCTTCAGGATGATGCAGGCGAGCAGCACATAGGGCTGAGCATCAACGGCACAGAGGAACCCTTGGTCAAGGAGGTGTCGCCATTCGCTTTCACCGATGGCAATGCTTACACGGTGTGGGTGAACTACGAGCCTGGGGATCCTGGCACCATTCAAGTGTTCCTGGCAAACTCAAACGTGAAGCCAGAGGAGCCGCTGTTGCAGCGGAAGGTGTCGCTGTGTTCGGTGTTACAACCTGGAGTGAAGCAACCGGCGTTTTCATTTGGCTTTGTGGCGTCCACCACTGTGAAGCCCTTCCAGCTGCAAGGCATACTCTTCTCCTCTTTGCAAACAGGCAAGCATATTATAACTGCATGGATGGGTGTGGGAGCAAGGAGGACGAGTGGTGGTGGTGGATGACGTGGTTGTTTATAAGTGGTACTGACATGACGCCTTCTTGTCCCAGAACGGATGTTCAATTCCAAGTTTCGTCTCACTTCATTCCTAGCAACGATCTCAATCGCACGGTTACATTCCTCAGACGCTTTGAAGATTCGGCCATGTAAGCACTGTAGTGAGTAAACGATGTGTCTCACCAAACTTCAATTCATCTGGTTTGTCCCGAACCGTTTCGTTTTGATCACCCGGGCAGTTTGACCACTCGATCATTGCTCATGCTGAATGAACAATACACTAGGATAGGTTGTTTACTTGAAATGTTTTTCTGGGTACTAATGATGATGGTCGCACCTGTAATAGCTAGGCCATAAAGGAGATGATGACAGTGGTAGTTTTTTTGCATCATCTTGCCACTCCTTCCCTATGCTGTGCCCTTCTTGTTTGTGCTTCTTTTTCTTGTGTCCGTCTTCACAGTTGCTCCTTCACCCAAGAAAGTCCAGGTCAATGAGAAAGGTGAGCTCCCTGTCATGTGGCAACTAGAAGCTGAGATGGTTAGTAGCAAGCAACTTGCAGAATAACTCTAACAATAATTAGAGTACTTGCAGTTTCCAATCTAAAGATTGTTAAAATTTCTCCCACCACGCCATCGTGGTCCGTTGATACTGAAATACGTGCAGTACAACCGCCGTAAGATCTTAGCTTTCTACCACTGTGGGTCGCTCAAGAAGTGAAGGGCGGTGTACAAGATGTGTTTTATGATATTCAAGTCTTCGGGGCGCAAAAATAGGCCGATCTCATTGGGTATTGCCTTCAATTTTGTTACCTATCGTTTCTACCCGATTATAGATGTAGTTATGAGTGCCATTTTTAGTGAACCGATTGTAGCTCAAGTTATTACATGTCAGACTTGGCGCTTTTAAAATCAGGCCACGCCATGCCTCTCAATTCAGCTGCTAACCCCATCCACATCTCTCTTTATGTCCAACCCTTCCGTCCCCTCACAGCCCTCGGCCTCTCACTGTCAGAGGCCACATTTGCACCATCTCGAGCCAGTCCCTTTTTGCGCTATGTGAGTGCGGACTTCAAGCTGTCGGCCACCAAAGCGGACTCGTGGAGCATTCGTGACTTCCACACGTGGGACTCTGTGCCCTTCCTCGACTGGCCTGTCAAGAACCAAAACGACTGCAGTGAGTGTGGAAAACACCAGGAGTTTCCAATTCAACATCCGAGCTGATTTTCTGCAGTGAGTGTGATTGACCGCTAAATATAGTTCTTGAGTACTGTTAATTGCATTTGTAATGTGTTGTCATCTAATCCTGCGTTCATTGCCAAACACTGTTGTGGTTTGTACCGTGTCCACACAGCATGTACGAGGCAGCAAACTCCATGGACCATCCATGCAAGGCACACACACTGCCATAATTAACACACATCAAGAGGGAATAAAGGGCGAATGGAAAATCTGAGTAATGTTTTTTCCAATCCGTCAAAATGTGGGGTTGATCTGGTTGGGAATGGAATCTACACCCAACCAAGTCAAGCCAGTTTTAAAACGAAAAAAAATGTAACAAAATGTGGGATTGATCAGGTTGGGAATGGAATCTAACACCCAACCAAGTCACCCCTTCTTTATCACCCCGCCCTTCTTTGCATCACCTTTCTTGCTCTACCACTTCTCAGATGCGTGCTGGGCGTATGCGGTGGTGGCGAGTGTGGAGGCGGCATACGGCATTGCAAAGCAGCAGAGCGCTCCCCGGCTGGCAGTGGAGGCGCTCTTTGCGCTCATGGGGCTCTCCGACTCCGACAAGTGCTCCGCTGGCGGCTCCCCCACCCACGCCTTTGAGACGCTCACAGCTCTAGATGCCTCCAGCGGGCTCACGGGTGCCAGCGACCCTGTAGGTAGAAGAACAGCATGAGGACGTGGTATGGTATGGTATGTATCACCTCATCCACCCAGCCAATGGACGTGGTATGATAGGGCAAAAAGCATGTAGACGTGGTATGGTGTGTATGGTATAGTATAGTGAAACCACCTCATCCAACCAGCCAGCTACACGGGTTTCTGATTGTACGGTTATCTATTTTTCTTACTGGTGTCTGAGGCCCAGAGGTACGTTGCTAATTTGCTGAGGCATCGTTGTGTTGTGATGTGAGATTAGTTTTTGTGCTTCTCATTATCTGTCTTGTTCCTTTTTTGGTGGTCCCTCTTCGGGGGGGGGGGAGGGCTGATGTACCCTTACCTAGTTTCAGAACTCCATCAACCTCCAGCATTCTCCAATCTCACCCCTAACTCCAGGCCTATTTCAATCTCCACCCCAACCCCCCCTTTTCCCATCCAACAATGATGCAATCCCGTGGCCACAGGCAACAAATTACCCGGTGCAGGCGTTTGAGAGAGCGCAGTTCAAGGGGTATGTGGGGCTCATGCTTGCAGTGCAGCGGCAGCCAGTGGTGGTTCACATCCAGGCGTCTGCTCCAACCTTCATGCAGTATGATGGGGTGTGTCGTTGCTGTTAGAACTTGAGCACAGAATCCATGCGTTAGTAGTGAGCTCAAAGCTCTTTAAGTACATCAGAAATGAGCACGTTATGGATGGGGAGGGAATCGGGGGCAATCCTAGGAAATTGGGGGTAATCCCAAGGCAATCTCCAATTGGTGGGTTGGAGATTGCTTGGAGATCACATTTGGGTTTGGTTGGGAAGTGGGTAGGGTTAGGCCCGGCCCGGGTCGGGCCGTGCCGGGCTGTCCAAAAAAGCGGGCCGGCCTGGCCCTGCCCGACCCGGGCCGTGATGGCAAAACCTCAGCCCGAGCCCGCCTAGAAGGTGGTCGGGCCGCAACCGGCCCGACCCGGGCTGTGTATGGCCCGACCCGGGCCGGGCCGGCTCGGCCCGGGTGCTATTACAGTGTTGGCTTCAGGGTTAAACTACTCTCTATTGATAGCTTCAGGGCGAAACCCTAAAACGAAATTGTATCGCACGGCTGTTTTGATTTCGTCGTGGTGAAAGGCAGTGTCGCGCCAAACAACGCCAATTCTAGATAACTAGTAGTTAAGCCTAAACCAGCTAAGAGAGATCAAAGACTACAGTGAGAAGGGAAGGGAGACAAACTAGGTCGAAATTGAGTGTGCACACAATGTCGCGCAGCTCAATTTTGACCCCCGCGTCATTTGTCGCGGGGGTCAAAACCGGGCCAAAACAGCCCGGCCCGGCCCGCCCCTAAACAGGCGGGCCAAAAGAGGGCCGCCGACGGTCCGGCCCGCCCCGGGCCGAAAGCTAAATTTTGAGGCCTGGCCCGGGGCATTTCCGAGCCGGCCCGACCCGGGCCAGGCCCAGCCCGTATTTTTGCTCATCCCTAGATGTGGGTGTACACCCAACCAAACACAAAGTGCAAACTACACTAAACTAGGATATAAAAAGTACAAGTACAAATGTGAGATCGAGGGCTAACATTATTAGGTGCATCTCACACTCAGTTATGTGCCTACCTTTTGCTGAAATTCATCACTTGGATGGCATGTACTTTCACACATAGATGCATGCCATCACTTTGGAATTCTTCATACCTGTCTGACCTGTACTCTTTGACTCCCTCTTGGTGAATGTTCTGCCCCCACCTCACTTCAGACTTACAAATATCAGGATCCTGGTTGCTACACGGGCAGTCTCAACCATGTAGTACTCGTTATTGGCTACTTCATCACAAGAAACGACGGCAGCCAGAACCGCATTGCGCCTCCATTTTGGATCATCCGCAACTCTTGGGGAGAGGAGTGGGGCCGAAGGGGACATATGCGCATGGACATTCAGGGAGGAGATGGTGTGTGTGGCATCAACGTGCTGCCTGGCATCTACCCCATCGTCAAGAGTAAGGCATCTACCCAACTGTGAAGAGCGAGCCATTTGTACTGTGTCACAGCTGAGGTCTACCATATCCACCTCATTGTCAGGGAAGATTGGTGTATCCAACCCGCTAGCTCTTTGGTAAGTCGTCCGTGCTGCCCAGCCTCAGCTGCAAGCCATGGTTTCTTGTTATTCCTCTTTTGCCAATTTATCCTTGTCCCTCGTGCCACACAAGTTGCTCCCAGGGCACTGCTGTGACATAACATCCTAGAAGGGAAGGGGTAAAAGTAAGCCTGGAAACAATAACTCAATCAGATAGGGTACTTGGTATTCGATCACAAAATCTACAACTAAAAAATGAGCTCGAATTAGCATGCTACTCGCATGTCTTGTTCGTCAAGTATTCATTTTTGTCAAGTAGTTGATCGCTACATATTTGCTTATTCAAGACACATCCGGCTTCTTCTCTTTATTACCTAGCATGCTCTTTACTGCACACTAATTTGTCACACAACACAATCCAGTAAGCCTGGTTTACTCAAAATTACGTCAGTAACAATAGTCTGGAAATTGCATAATTCACTGTAAGAATTGACCAGGAGTATGATTGGACTGGTGTAGATACACACAAATGCAACAAAATAGCATGCGCACGGTATCACTAAACATTTGAAAATGCCCTGCGTGCAAGTTGAAAGCTTAAATTCTTCCACTAGTGGACAATCGTAGTCTCAAGCCTGGTAAGCACATATGTACTGAGTGGTGCTTAACTATTGTGGTGTGCTCAAAAAATTTGGCATGAACTCTGTAGTCCTCCTCAAAACTCCATCCTCATGTTCTTCAAGTGCCTTCTCTTTAACGCCTTCCATTCCAGTTCCAGGGGACCCCTGTGGAGAGAATAGCTACAAGGGCGATGGGGATTCGCAGCCCAGCATGAACCCGTGCGGCCGGTTCCAGTGCCAGGGGACTACAGCAAGCAGCAATAACTGCACCTGCAATATTCCCACCGCTACTGTGCAGCCTTTTGTGCAGGTTGCGAATGGAATTGGCTCCACATGTGCTTATGGTAAGTTCAGTGGCAAGGCAAAGGGTGAGTACAGGGCGTGAAATTTGGTCTCACTATAAATCATGTCTGCCTGTTGTAATATGCACATGTATTCACGTGTACGCAGTGCGTGCCACGGAGAGTGAGGGCAATGGGGTGAAAAACATAACTTCTCTAGGTCCCCTGTGCTCATACTCCTGCCTGTGGTCGATGTGTGTTAGAGGTCCCCCAGCTACAGTGGCCAAAGGTGGCTGGGAGTGTGCGGACCATATTCGCCTTCTTCTCTCCCATATTCGCCCTCATTTCATCTTAAATCCCCCGTTTATCTCAACTATCTGTACGAACCCCCAACCCACGTACACGTGTGGCAGTGGACGTGTGTGGAGCATACTTCAAGAACCCCTGCTACGTGGGAGCATGTATCAACGATGGCAAGGGCTCCTACTCCTGCATTTGTCCTCCCAACCACGTTCTGAGCACAACAGTTGACGGCTTCCCAACCTGCGATCCAAGTAGGTGACTCAAGTGTGTCTATTGCTCTCACTAGTTTGCTAGTGAACCTCCGCTTGTTTGATGGAGCTGCCTCGAATCCTGTTTCCGCTTCTTTCAAATATTCAACAGATTTCACCCCTAACTTTCCTCTGTCGCGCTCCCCATTCTGCCTGCAGCTAATACCACGGCCACCATAATGACAGTCAGTGGAGACAACTGGTGGTGTTCAGACATTCATCCACTAATTGGCCTCTCTCTAAGTGACTTCACTGACCAAAATATAGTGGGTGAAAAATTGGTGGGAGTTGCGACACTTTATTCAGCGTTTGGATTGCACATTCCATATCACCTTGTTTTCACATCACTAGTCTTCCTTCACTGTACCCCTGAACTCTCACTGCACTTCCAGCTGGTTCCAAACTTCATCAGATATGTTTATATTAGGTATCCTCGTTTCGCCCTTCCAGCATACTTGTCTTTTTTTATGAGACCCCCACACCCACCCCCGTTTCATTCACACGACCCAGACCACAACGATGTGGTACTAAGGTGTGAACCTTATTCTCCAGGACCCAGTGAGGAGTGGAAGCCTTGCCTTTGTGGAGTGTGGTTCAAACCTCTGATTCATGCACGTGGTTTCCCAATGCAGGGCATCGATTGCAGCCAGCCGTTGCCCAAGGGCAGTGTTCTTCAGCTGGATGGTACTCCCGCCACACCCTGCACTGCCTTCTTCTACTCCCTCACTGTAAGACCTGCTGCTTTCTTGCCCACACCACGCCATGCACTCAACCAGCTTGCGTACAACTCAGCACATCGCAAGCACCAGGCACAAAATCACAAGCTGCAGGCACAAAGTCACTAAGCACATCGCAGGCACAAAGTTTCACTTTCCCTGCTTCTGTCCATCCTTCCAGGAAGACACCTGTGCATCCATAAGCTCAACGCTCAACTTCAATGAGGGAAGTCTCGATGAGCTCAACCCCGGCCTTGACTGCTCCAAGTCCATCAAGGCGGGCTGCTCTGTGTGTCTTGAGCGCAGTGCTGCCTTTGCCTTCACTGTGCCTGAGTGTGTGAGATACGGCACGCTCACTCCTCAAGACACGTGCGACCGGCTGCTTCAGAGGACCGGCACTTCACAAGGGAGTGCCAGTGAGAAACAATGGGCTGCGCTGTACCGCAACAATCCCGGCCTCACTTGCTCCGCAAACATCCCTTCCTCTGCTTCCGCTATCGGCAGCAACATTGGTGTGCAGGTGAGAATTGTGAGGGCTGGGGGGAGGGTGGAAGTCAGGCATGGAGCAGCAAGTAAATGGTGAAGAAGGGTACGTGCTCTTTGCACGGCTGTTGCAAAAGTATGTGCCTTGTCGCGTTTATCTCTATACTGCACTAGCTTGTTTGTTTGTTTGTTTGTTTGTTTGTTTGTTTGTTTGTTTGTTTGTTCTTGTTTGTTTGTTTGTTTTTTTTTTTTTTCCGTCAGTTCCTCCTACATCATAACTGATTTATGGATTGTGAATCTTATGATCCCAGATTTGCCTCAGGG